ACCTTGCATCAGATCGCCGCGCCTGGGCAGCGATGATTCGAGATGTTCATGAAGCCGGCTCATCCTCCCGTAGGAGACAGCCGAAGTAAATGTAAAAAAAATGATAACAAAGGGAGGCAGAAAACAACTTCAAGAAAATAAAGACATAATCCTCGTCTGTCCTGATTTAGGGGAATTGTATTGAACAAATCAGATAATGTCGAGAAACAAACAAACGTACAATCAGACAAATACCAAATTCTTCAAATCACCCAACCAGAAAGAACAGAAAACCTCCTTACAAAATTACTGAAGAAAATGAGAGCAAATTTACTTATGACATAGATGTATGAACAAACAAAACCATGCAGTTCAGTTTATGCCGAGACAATATGGATTGCTTGAAGTGCATAAGAAGGATGTCTCACTTCGACATATTATAGACATGGTTGAAGACATGAAAAGGTTGACTGTTTTTCATCATAGATGTCTACGATCTCTTTCTCATGTTAGGTGGTATAATAAGGTAAGTAATGTTGACGTTGGGCGTAGAGTTTTGGGCAAGGAGGGAAAATCAATCGAAGAGGCTATAAAGTTACATAGATTGAGATGGCTAGGTCACGTGCTGCGCATACCTAACCATCGCCTCCCCCGACGGACATTACTAGCTGATATAGAAGCAGGTTGAAAAAGAGTAAGTGGTGGCCAAACGAAAACATGGCCTCATCAATCCATGAAATCCTTGACAGTTAAAATGAGTCAGGTAGGGAGATGCAGACTTCCGGGTTGGGGCCCTCGGGACTCTAAGAATCAATGGCTGGACACAATAGGTGACATGGCTCAAAATCGTTGTCAATGGCCTTCGCAGATGCATTCAGTCTCTTTCATATCTTTCATATTCCTTCCTACCATTACTCATTCTGTTTCACTCTTATACTTGTCAAAACTCTATTGATTCTCTCCACTCATCTTCTATAAATAAATAAATAAATAATAGTATATTCTCATTTTGTACATGAGGGTCGCCAGTTTACAGGCATCATCAATATGATAAATTACACATACGATTAGTAAGCATATTTAATAAGAGTAATTTAATAAAATACATTTTTTCCTACCTGTGTAGGACACACCAATTGTACAGGCATGGATAAGTATTATTTAAATTACATAAATTTGGTTCATGGTAAAATTTTAAGGTTGCAGTCATTTTCTTAATGGGAACAATATGATAACTAGTCATTCAATGGAGCACATCAAGAAATATAGAAATATTGTCTTCGTATTAACAAAAAAAACCCAAGTATGTTTTGGATGGATTACAAATACTTGGGAAAAAATAAAGCTTGAAGTAATTCCTCCATATAACTTTGGTGTGTACGGCATCGAGTCTTATTCTTGATTTATATCCAAATTTGATAATAATTTAAAATAAGTAATACACTTGTATACTTTTGTCAGCATTTTCTTCGTAACATCACAAGTGAATAGTACTCAATGTATACTAATAATAATGACAGTCTGTATTTTCTTATAAACGGGTGTTTTCAAGAAATGCAAGCTATTTTGCAGACAAGATCAGTTATGTTGTAAGTTACAATCGTGAAGTATTATAAATCAATACTTTTTTATGGGTATAAAGGTATATTTCACAACTGTAATCCAGGTTGCGTCGTTGGTGAAGGCAATGCGCAATTCACGAGGGAATTGTAAGATATGGGACCAATAATGTTTGCAGATCATTTGTCATTGTAAATGGGCAAATATCTACATTCTTCATTCTCATTCAAAAAGTTAAATGGAAGCTGAAATGGTGAGAGACAAAAGAAGACAAACAACAACAACGCAAAAGAAAGCAAGTGGAGTACTTAGGGGGTGATTAATATGTATATATACATTTATATTCTGTTTAGTAATTATAGTTATTTTGGTGCACTAACTAACTATTCCCGTGATGCTAACTTTTATATTGTGTGAACTAATATTATTGTCCTGTGTAAAAATGTCTACCATGTACTTCCAATAATATAAAAATTTATAATTGTAGTTTGTTGTAACTACACGTTTAATGAACTTAAAATATCTATGTTGAGCGAAAAAGTGGGTGTAGGATTCAGACGCAGAAGTGCACTGTCATCTTTGAGCAGTCTGGTGACTGAGGAGATGAACACTGCGAGTGTGTTTGCATCGCGCACATCAGCTGGTAGTCTATTCCAAATGACTGAAAACTTATTTAAGAAGAAACTATACCGCATGTAAGTCTGACAATGCTCTATAGCAACTAGGTTGTGATGATTTCTAAGATTGTAACTGATGACAGCGGTAGGTTTAGTTATTGGCTCGGAGGAGTGCACGAGCAGATTAGTTAGCTTGTAGTAAAAAATCAGGTTTAGCTTAAGACGTCTTTTCCAGAGTGGTTCTAAACTTAGTCTGTCGCAACGTTCATAGTATTGGAGACCACTTTCTAAACCAAGAATTCTTAAGGTGAATTGCCGTTGCACTCCTTCTAACTTAAGCTTGTCATTTTGTCTGAGTCCGCTTAGAATAAACAGGCAGTATTCTAAAATAGGTCGGACACATACTTTATATAATAAAACCCTAGTTTCACAACAAAAGAAATTGCGAGTTATGCATCCTAGGAGCCTTCGGGTTTTACGTCTGGCATAATCAGTTTGTTCAGAGAACGTTAAGTTACTAGAGTATCTGATACCGAGCTTGTCTACCTTTTTGTGCTATTTGGAACGTGGCAACTCGAACTGCTGCACTTCGGTGCTAAGTTCTATGTTGAATCCAGACAGACAGATTATAGACATGGCGTCAACTCAACATATTATCAGATTGCGAATTGGTTAGCAGATATCCTTGAACGGGTAAGGAGACATATGGCAAGGTTGCAGCCTTAATGATATATTCGACTCTACTCTTCCGATTAACAGAAATTTTGGTATTCTATCCAAAATTCCTGATGTCTGACACGTAAAAATCACTACATAGTTCTACCCTCCATAGAGCTAAAGAGCCAACATAATGCTGAAACACTCCAAGATTCCATCTTCAAACGCAGAACGGACAAACTTAGAAATTGATAAATGCATAAATTCCTTTCAGGTACACGCGCACACACATTGTAGGACAAAAAACGATCGGAGTTCAATGAGATCCTGCAAAAATGAAAGGAGTGACATTCATCAAGCATGCCTAAGCCACGGGAATCCTAAGATGTCGTCAGTTACTGAAAGACAATTGCTACTTCTTCAAAACGGGCACCACTGGATGCAAGTCGCAACTCGAACTGCTGTACATCTGTGCCAAGTTCTCTGTTGAAACCAGTCAGTGAGTTATTTGTTCTATTGATCCGTAATTCAGTGGGATCGAAAAATTCAAGTGAAATCGAAGAGAATCGGTCTAATCATTACTCGTGTAAGGCACATTCACTTGTCCGCACACCCTAATGATAATAATAATAAAAATAATAAATGCCAGTACATGGATGAAAACAAAAGAAATTCTTCATATTGATTTTTAATCCATAAAATGGAAATGTTCATTAAACACACAGGAATGTAGTAACTTTCCTAATTTATAGATTTTTTTGTAGTGTATTGTTTTTACCTTCTCTGTTTTTAGTGTATCGACCCGTGGATTCGTGACTCGCCTACCTGTCCGGTTGATCGTTTGCCTATCCCAAAAGGATCCATGCACCATGATTTCATAGTTGAAAATATAATAGGCGAATATATGGTAAGTTATTGTACGTTTAGTGAGTACAGACAATGAGAGTATCGTTGGCATTGGTTTATACTCTCTTTTTCAAGTAATCATTTGCTAATACAATGTACAACTGAAGGAATTTATAAGGAAAAAGTAGAAGAAAATCCACTACATAGGTGCACAAGTGTTTGTAGTCGTGTTACCTACTGATAGAGATGGCCACTGATGCCAACATTGTGACTTCATCGTTTCATTGGAAAATGTGCTAAATTTGATTTTTTTTTAAATCCAGACTAAACTGATTATATGATGGAATTAACTGCATTCTATCTCCCGTGTGTGTCGGGTGGTATACTGAAGTGAGGAATATTGAGGTTAGGCTTCGTGTGTTTGGCAACAAGAAAAATTCATTCGATGAGGTTGTGAAGGTATATCGGTTGAGATAGTTAGAACTTGTATTACGCATACGCCTAGCCATCGCATGCTTCGACGGGTAATGTTAGCTGACATAGGATGGATCAGGCAGGAAAAGAGCTATTGGTGGTCAAACCAAAGCATGGCTTCATCGGTCAATCAAATCCACAACAGTTATTTTAAGCCAGACACGTATGGTGGTGTAGAATGCTTGGTTGGTGGGGGTCCTCAGGATGGTAAGAACCAATGGTTGGAGAAAATTTTTAATATGGTTCAAAATCGTTCTCAGGGACAGCGCAGATGAATTCACTCTTTGTGATATATCATATCCAATAAAACTCCATCGTCCTTCCATATTACTGTTCTTTTTCCCTCACCCACACCAGTGTTTACTATCTCTCTTTTGAGCCTCTCTTCTCTTGTTTCGTGTACTGCATGGAGGAGGTAGTGTGGGAACTCAAACCGCTGTGCATCTGTGCTAAGTTCTATGTTGAAACCAGTCAGTCAGTTAATGTTTCATCTCGCTGTTCATTATGCTGTAACTGAGTCCCATCCACACCTACTGTATTCCGTGTGTCGTCAATTGTTTGTTAGAAAATTCCTTGGCGTCCGGATTTGTGGACGCGGGTGGGGGTTGTAAGCTTGAGGCTTTTAAATTTTGAAGTAGCCGTATTCTTATTCTTTCTATTCATCTATTTAGTTTATTTTTAGGTATCATGTCCTTGGCGTTCTCTAGGATGCGATTTTATCGGTCGCTTGTGCGTTCTACCCAGTCATAAAAAAACGTGTCCAATGAATCCTGAACTTCTTCCTGCAGAATTACGTAATCGTGTTATGGCTGGTTTACAAAATACAACAACAAACAGAAATCAATCTTCAGACTTGAATTGTTATTCTTATAATGAAAAGTCATCGAAAGCTCGATAGGGAGGGGCAGGTTCCTGTCGAGCTTTCGATAACTTTTCATTATAAGAATAACAATTCAAGTCTGAAGATTGATTTCTGTTTGTTGTTGTATTTTGTAAACCAGCCATAACACGATTACGTAATTCTGCAGGAAGAAGTTCAGGATTCATTGGACACGTTTTTTTATGACTGGGTAGAACGCACAAGCGACCGATAAAATCGCATCCTAGAGAACGCCAAGGACATGATACCTAAAAAATAAACTAAATAGATGAATAGAAAGAATAAGAATACGGCTACTTCAAAATTTAAAAGCCTCAAGCTTACAACCCCCACCCGCGTCCACAAATCCGGACGCCAAGGAATTTTCTAACAAACAATTGACGACACACGGAATACAGTAGGTGTGGATGGGACTCAGTTACAGCATAATGAACAGCGAGATGAAACATTAACTGACTGACTGGTTTCAACATAGAACTTAGCACAGATGCACAGCGGTTTGAGTTCCCACACTACCTCCTCCATGCAGTACACGAAACAAGAGAAGAGAGGCTCAAAAGAGAGATAGTAAACACTGGTGTGGGTGAGGGAAAAAGAACAGTAATATGGAAGGACGATGGAGTTTTATTGGATATGATATATCACAAAGAGTGAATTCATCTGCGCTGTCCCTGAGAACGATTTTGAACCATATTAAAAATTTTCTCCAACCATTGGTTCTTACCATCCTGAGGACCCCCACCAACCAAGCATTCTACACCACCATACGTGTCTGGCTTAAAATAACTGTTGTGGATTTGATTGACCGATGAAGCCATGCTTTGGTTTGACCACCAATAGCTCTTTTCCTGCCTGATCCATCCTATGTCAGCTAACATTACCCGTCGAAGCATGCGATGGCTAGGCGTATGCGTAATACAAGTTCTAACTATCTCAACCGATATACCTTCACAACCTCATCGAATGAATTTTTCTTGTTGCCAAACACACGAAGCCTAACCTCAATATTCCTCACTTCAGTATACCACCCGACACACACGGGAGATAGAATGCAGTTAATTCCATCATATAATCAGTTTAGTCTGGATTTAAAAAAAAATCAAATTTAGCACATTTCCCAATGAAACGATGAAGTCACAATGTTGGCATCAGTGGCCATCTCTATCAGTAGGTAACACGACTACAAACACTTGTGCACCTATGTAGTGGATTTTCTTCTACTTTTTCCTTATAAATTCCTTCAGTTGTACATTGTATTAGCAAATGATTACTTGAAAAAGAGAGTATAAACCAATGCCAACGATACTCTCATTGTCTGTACTCCCTAAACGTACAATAACTTACCATATATTCGCCTATTATATTTTCAACTATGAAATCATGGTGCATGGATCCTTTTGGGATAGGCAAACGATCAACCGGACAGGTAGGCGAGTCACGAATCCACGGGTCGATACACTAAAAACAGAGAAGGTAAAAACAATACACTACAAAAAATCTATATATTAGGAAAGTTACTACATTCCTGTGTGTTTAATGAACATTTCCATTTTATGGATTAAAAATCAATATGAAGAATTTCTTTTGTTTTCATCCATGTACTGGCATTTATTATTTTTATTATTATTATCATTAGGGTGTGCGGACAAGTGAATGTGCCTTACACGAGTAATGATTAGACCGATTCTCTTCGATTTCACTTGAATTTTTCGATCCCACTGAATTACGGATCAATAGAACAAATAACTCACTGACTGGTTTCAACAGAGAACTTGGCACAGATGTACGGCAGTTCGAGTTGCCACACTCCCTCCATTTAGTACACAAGGCAAGAGAAAACAGTTAAGAGAGATTCAAACGAGAGGTAACAAACAGAAGTGTGAATGAGGGAAAAAGAATAATAAGCACACAAAGTCCTCCTGATCATCATTCTCCTTTATCCCTGTCACTCCCCATCCTTTTGCTTCCCTACTACTGTCAGGACCAATCTGCCGATAGGTATGTATAATGTATCAAGTTATCCTAGTCACCCTGCAATGCCATCCGCGTATATTTACTGATACTATCCCCTCGAAACGCACTAGATCTGAAGGCTCTAAAAAGTGCAGTCTCTGTAAGCACGTTGTTACCTACTACGAGCACTCTTAGTTGATGAGTCCCATACAGGAGAAAATGTGCATCCTGGATTATACTGTTAGTCACCATTAACAAATACAGCCGTTGGTTTCTTTATTCATGTATTAACAAACATACATTATTAGTTAAAGTGATATTTAGACAATTAACACTTACACTTTTGCAAAATGAATGGCCGCATGGTGCACGTTGAGGATTAGAAAATGCCTCCTGGCATATAGGACAGAAGAGATGCAGGCTGACAGACGATGGGTTAACGAAAGACCTAAAAGGTATTTATTTTATTTCATTGAAAGTGGCTACCTTTCTTCGGGAGCAGGCTCAGATTTCCTTGGAGCAGCTCTTTTAGTAGAACGTCTAAGTACCATTGGTTTAGATACCAATATGTTTGTTTGTAGACTTTTTGTGCTAAAATACAAAATGGAAAAGAAATCGTAATTATTTTAAAATCATAGACTGCCTATACTTGATGCATAGATGCTTTAAAACACGCTGTTAAGTTATACGGAAGAAACTACGTGACAAATGTTCTTAAAACAAGAAGTGTCGACCGGTTAAAATGTGTATATAAGAAGTAACAGATACTGAAGGTGGACAAAGACATTATTATTATATAGAACATATAGTAAATAACTAACAGGTACAAGTAGCCTTCAATTTACATACACCAAGCAGTATATCGAATTCAGTCTAGAATTTAGCTCACTCTGTATATGAAGTTGAGTCTAATTGGTGTAGACGGGATATCCGGTCTGCTATCTATCAAAGGACGTGTGTACTGCTTAGCGATTCGCTTCTTCCTCCTTTATGTCCAAGAGAAACACATGGCTATTGAAAGTGGAAGACATATAAACATATAATAAACAGCATGCTAGGAGACATCGAGTTCACATGAGAAGAAACGTTATCCCCTTCTTAGATGCCTTAATCAATGGAACAACCACAGGAAGTCTAGAAACAAGCATACACAGAAGTGAACACACACACACACACAGATCAAACGCTCAACTTTAACGGCAATATTCGAATGACTCGCATAAGAAACTGCGTACTAACATTGTCTACCGGAGTTAAAACACACTAGCATTTCAGTACTGAAGAAAAATAGAAGACAAATATTAACTGGCTTTCGTCAAGAAAAAAGAAATACCTCTACACTACTACCAGAAAATGTTGAGACTTGAGTCGAAGTACCAACAAGAAACCAACCTCAATTACCACAAGAAAACTTATCTTACCACATATATTAAGGATATCTCTGGAATAACAGCTAGAATGCTGAAGCCATTCGAAGTAGACACAGAGCACAAACCAACACAATCTCGCCATTCAATAGTGTGCAGACCAAGATCCAACAACAAAAGATGACAATATCAACACTATCTACGAAAATAAATCGCTTGAACTGTGATAAAAAACCCACGAACTAGCTGTGGAAAGGACGTTTCTCATCATATCGATTCAGGTATACAATTATGGATACAAATTGTATTCGAAGTAGAATTCTTAAACAGGGGAAACGGAAAACTTGTCAGGCGATTCCTACAAACCTGGTACTGATATGAATCAGTGACTAACAAACCTTACCATAAATCACATTGGTCCACTAATAGAGAATAATGTACATGACGAATAAGTTGAAGTTCGAAATCAATAAAGACGATCAATAAACATATAAATCAATAGTCATTCATGGCAAAGTTTTCCAGGCAACACGATCATATCATTTAAGGAGAAATGAGTAAGTACACTCCACATCAAAGCTTGCGCTGAAGATGTCCGGAAGGACAACGAACTCGCAGCTAAATCAACCAAATGAGACAATACAACCAAGTGAAAAAGAACCTGTTTCCTACAGAAATAACGTCTTACGCCACTATAAGGAAACGCCACTGTATTACCTGCAGAGTGGCTTAAGCGATGAAAAGATGTTGCGACATGTAAAACGAACCACGTCAGTTATTCTATGTGACCCAGTCAAGTATATTTACCCACACATCACAGTCAATGTGTGGAATCTCGGTTATCACAGTGTATAATAGCAGTCTAAGTAAACTCTTGCAAGAAATGGCTTCAATAGAGGGATGTCTTATAAGACATGATTATGAGCAATAGTTTATGCTCATAACGTCTTCAGTTATTACTGTACAAACTGTACAACACTGTGTGATTTATCGAAATAAAATCTTATCTATAATGGAGTTATACTCTACCACAGTGCCCAAGTTTTATACTTACATCAAAGATACTCGGGAGTCAACTGCTTGCGAAAGAGTGATGGAAGTTGTTAATTAGCCCAAGTTTCAGGGAAGCCGTCAAATGAGACTTATTAACAGTCGATCACGAAGATAAACCTTCATTCCTTTACTTAATTTTTAACAACTCGGCCCGTTACTCAATCCATTTCTAGAATTTAAATTATAAAAGAAAGTGTTTTTTGAAGATTTGTTTGTTACCTTGTCGGAAAATATGGTGTTCAGTCTAGTACGCGCGAGTTTCGAAGACTAGGAATTAAATGTAGTGCAATGAAAACAAAACCTATATTATGATACTAATCAATATTTGATTTTCTCTACTTGCAGGAAGATACTCGAGAGTCAATTGTTTGGACCAGGAAATACAAGAATTAGAGAACCTAAACTTTAGGGAAGACCAGTAAAACTGTTATATTCAAAAAACTGTACTCCCTCACTTTTTAAAAGTCAAATTCCTGGAATATACGCTCTCCTGCACAGCTTGTGTTCTGCTTTCATTAACTGTGTGTCTGCTGGTTTGCCTGTTACAAATTGGTGCCGGAGGTGTCCCAAACTCAGTCTAGATATGAAATCAGACTCATCCGAACCTCCTGAAATACTCTCCAAACAGAAAGCAGACACACAGTTAATGAAAGCAGAACACAAGCTGTGCAGGAGAGCGTATATTCCAGGAATTTGACTTTTAAAAAGTGAGGGAGTACAGTTTTTGAGTATAACAGTTTTACTGGTCTTCCCTAAAGTTCAGGTTCTCTAATTCTTGTATTTCCTGGTCCAAACAATTGACTCTCGAGTATCTTCCTGCAAGTAGAGAAAATCAAATATTGATTAGTATCATAATATAGGTTTTGTTTTCATTGCACTACATTTAATTCCTAGTCTTCGAAACTCGCGCGTACTAGACTGAACACCATATTTTCCGACAAGGTAACAAACAAATCTTCAAAAAACACTTTCTTTTATAATTTAAATTCTAGAAATGGATTGAGTAACGGGCCGAGTTGTTAAAAATTAAGTAAAGGAATGAAGGTTTATCTTCGTGATCGACTGTTAATAAGTCTCATTTGATGGCTTCCCTGAAACTTGGGTTAATTAACAACTTCCATCACTCTTTCGCATATCTTTTCCCTGGTTCTATTTGTTTTAATCGATTAAGATACGACTTCTACTGCTATTATTTAATCTTGTGTTCCTGATTCGCAAGTTTCGAATAAATTTGAGGAATGGCCTGATTGTGGCTGGCAACGTCTTCCAATGCATTAGATAACTGTTCTTCAGTTATGTTCTTGGGTCTCGAAATGTACTTCTGAACATCTCACAATATATAGTGGATTTCTTGAAGGAGACAAAGCAGATATATTATAATGGAATGGTTCGTACTTCAGCTTAGAGACCATTGTGTCACAAGATATACTGTCAGTTATTATTTTACTTAAAGAGATTATATGAGAGAAAATCTCCTGCAATGAACTCCTCTGGAAATTCCGCACGTTTCATAAATACCATCCAGAATGAAGGTTTTATTATTATGAAATATGTCTGTCTACAATAATGGAAATATTGAAACTGTGATAACACAAATGTATGGGATGTAAATTCGGAGTGGATTCCGTCAGGTATTTCACCACTCCTGTATTTTGGGGAAAACATACAAATTTAGAGTCCCTGTAGGACCAGAGATGCCACAAATTGTTCTGAATATAACCCACCAGATAGTGCTGCTTCCATGGTTAGGAAACATTGTTACAGTAGCGCATCCACAACATGAGCAAACATCAAATCATGTTAGCTGCGAAACCACGACCTTGTCAAGGTGTCCGCCTACAGAAAATTCATCAGGGCAAACTTTTTCACCATTAAATATTGCACTTTTTGGAACCAACTCTCATCTGAAATTAGATCCTGTGAAAACCTCGATGGGTTCAAACGAAGCCTAGAAAGACAAATTAACATGCCCACCCTAACTCGCCTAAAATGGTAGATGAAAGCCAGACCAGTCTCCAGGGTAGTCACTTACGTACAACCCGACTCTACTACTTACGCAGCGAACGCTTAACTAATATATTGATTTTCTATTCTATAAAATCTTCAATAATTTGTGTTAGTATAAGTAATTCTAAAGAGAATTACATTAGCAAGCACACAGAGCCGAGAAGCGATAAAATACATAAGCCAGATTAGCAAGCACACCTTTTAATATCCTATATATATAATCAATAATACAATGCTATTTTTGTGTAAAAAAGACTTTACTCGGTCAATAACTACTTTTTCTCATATACTTTTCAAAATGTATAATTTTATGATATTTTGCAGAATTTTTAACATAAGTTGATGAAAATCGGCCATGATAATTTAGTATAACTAGTATTGTTAAGCAGCTGTTTTCTTCAGGATCATTATAAAGAATTTTATCACTAATTGTTCCACTACCTATTTAATTCTACTAAATTGACTATAACTATTAACTACTTATATACCTTATAAATTTTTGAGGGGAAACTTAATTTCCTAGTCAGTTGTGACAAATACTTATATGCATATATGCATGTATAAAGGTGACACTGCTGAGAATATCCTCAGGTATTTATGTATCTGGTGACCCGATCGGAAGCACTTGTCATGAAAGTTATTAATGTGCAGCACACTGTATGATTGAGACGGGCTCAAAGCAACGCAATGCTGCAACTACAGTTATTGCAAAAAATCTCAGAGCCTAACATCAAAAAGGAGGGAGGGTGGCGCATGATGATCAGCAGATATGGTAGTGGTCACAAATGTGAATCGCTCCGATCTGTAGAACAGAAACATGCGTTTCCTGACAGCTCGAGAATTAAACATTAGTCTAGACCGTTAACAAAAATAACAATGAGGATTATACAGATCAATATCTCTAGATATGCTATTGCTCCTATAATCTGCAAGCCTGACCAGCTTCTTGTCAGGATACTGCACCATGAGCCCTACAGAAATTCGCAAGAAATGTGTAGGGTCAGCTATCCTACGGGTTCAAATCTTCCAGATCTTAAGATTCACTTCACACTAAAATACCACTTGTCCACCTCACAAAAATCTTTTTATTTACGCAATATTATACTCTACCTTATCGTAACTACCTATGCCTTCATTAGGGCTGAAGATAACTTTGTTAATATTTGTTGCTTCCCTAAAGTCTAGTTGCTTTGATTAAAAAGATAACGACACCACTTTTAAAGCAAAGTTATATTTTCATCGAAAACGGCAAATTTTCATAGCAAGATCAATATGGTTAGCATTTACCATTGCAAATGTAAACTATGATTCCAAGTAGTCTGCATATCCTTCTAACGTATAACATGTTATTGTACTTAATAACATTAATGTATATTTTCATATAAACATATAAATTTACACGAAAATGCATACCATTTTTACAGGCACGATCAAGTATGATATAATCTCAAATAGTAGATTGTCTACAAGTTAATAATGTTTCAGCAGCTAAATATTTGATACGTATATAAATACACTCATTGTCTGAATCAGGCCGTATAATTATTGAATTGTACAGTAGTCCTCCAGGTTGCGCGGGGAAATCGACTTCGTTTCGTTTTCAACCCGTGGTGGCAGGAAAGACGCTATAGTCAGCTTCACACGATAACCAACCAATATTGAGGTAAGTACTACATTTACATGGGATTGAAAGCTGTTTTAGAAAAGTAAAAGTGCTAAGGTGAATCAGTAAAGTGTAATGAAATAAGTAAGCGTAATGTATCATTAATAGATGCATTCATAAAGGAGATACAATGGGAGACTATAACCCCTAGGCTGACAACGCTCATTTGCAATGTATAATGCTACCTATATAGGTCTTACTATCATGATGTCCACTTTTGGTTACAATACAATTATCCTCAAGCCGGTTGTTTTTATTTCATACCTTTTTGTGTATTTGGTGCACAACCGCACCCTACAGAGAATAGGAATAGAATAGGTCGAATCGAATTCATAAAGAGCTATAAAATGTTAGGTTTAATGGAATATAATGGGGAGCAAGTGGAGACGTTATTAGAAAATGAATGAGATGAGACATTGTTAAGTGATATTCAAAGATCCGACAATGGAAAGCATGTTAATTTGTAAGATGCCTTATGAATCTGTGCAGAGCCCACAGGGTCGCATCTCAACAATAGGCTGAGCGAATGATATATGTTTAAAGGCAGAAGCAACACCTATCTAGGCGATCATTATTACCTTTTTCAAGATAACGATCCAAGCCCTCATAAAAATCTCGAGCCGTCAAATTGCATATTGAAGAATGTGGCGATTCACCTTAGTGACCACCACCATTTCTACTGAGCAGCATGCGTCACCCTTCCTCCTTTTATGATGTTAGGCTCTGATTGTTATGGCTACAGCAAATATATTGCTTGATACCAGACACGCTCGTACCTCATATTCCATTTCGCTAGCTTTCTCAGTGAGTGCTTCCAATAGGTCTCCACGTACAGATTTATGAACATATTGTATATGTGCATGCTTCCCAATGAACAGATTGGTTTATAAGATGTTAAAACCTTAGAGAGTAAAAAGAATAGGTTTTGTGAGTAGTGGATCAAGATTCAGCATAACACTATAGAGTTCAATGTAGGTGGTATGAACTGAAGGTAAGGTCGGTTGGCAGGACTTATTGTACTAAATTATCATGACAGTCTTTTACATAGTAAACATTTGACATTGCAAAGTAACCTGTCTTCACATATTATAAAAAGATATCAACACGGAACCAACAAAGTTTTAATATTTGGTTAACAATACTGCAGTGTGTGTATACTGAAGAAGGATAGTTATTCTTACAGGGAGCCGTAAAGTAAATCAAGCCATATATGACAAGAGTGTAATCAATATTACAATTCGTATTATCAAAGAATACATTCAGCTCAACAATTGAGTGTCATAAGGGAAACAATCGTGGTAAAGCAAGAGAACTTTGCTGCATAAATATTTTAATCATTTGAAGTATTGTAATGACAGTCTAATTTCAAGAATTTATCATGCATAATTACTAAGTATTGTTATATTAGTATTGGGACTAGTGTGCTTTCCGTGGTTAAATACTGAAATGTCATTGGTTCCCCACTCTACCAGCAGTTGTGATCTTTTGGAAGGGCTAGGGTGGACATGTTAATATGTTTTTCTAGGCTTTTTTGAAACTGTCAGGCTTTTCACAGGATCTAATCTCAGAGGGTATTTGGTTCCAAAGTGTGCTATATTTAGTGGTGAAAAAGTTAGCTCAAGTGGTGAGTTAACCTTGAGAAGGTAGTCATGGTTGGGTAGTCGATACGATTTAAGATAAGCCCACGTTATGGATGGGTTACTGTTACAGTGCTTTCTTATAACTTTGAATAAGAGAAATAAGTTGCACTTCACTCTCCTTAACCATAGGGGTTCTAAGTCCAGTCGAATACATCTGTCAAGGTATTCTGTTTGTTGATCATAGCCTAATATGAGTTTCGTGAGGAATCTTTGGACACTTTCAACCTTTTTTCTGTCTACTGATTTTAAGCTGGTATATATAACGCTCGTTCAAATAAAACTTGCAGATACGAAGAAAGCCGAATTGCCAAAAATTAGGGCGAATAATTCCAGGAGATATCAGAAACTGTCAATGTCTATGTCTAACTACACTGGACTTAACGCTGTCCTTAGAAGACCTTCAGCAACAATGTGCATTAACTAACGCGAAAAACAGAACACAGATTGGTGACTCAAGAATCCTTTATTCTGGCCCCAATATGGAACCAACCATAAGGTTACTATACACAAATTCTAGGAATAAATGTCATAAGAATTAATCACAATAATACTTCTGATAGTATTTCTCCGTCTTCTAACCAACAGCGAACGATGGAGTGATGACTGCAGTATCGGTGACTCCCGCCAAACTATGGGGTTGGATGTGGGTAAACAACCATGAATCGATCGTTCATTCTTCAACTACATTGACAAAAACTTTAACACTACGCAAGTGGGATAAGAAGGGCTGAATATAAAATGACTTCGGGTATTTTCTGTGTTCGTCAAGTCCCGGTCCTCAAATTGTGAATACCTTAAAGCGGAAATGTTGCCAAACATACTGACAATACTTCCTTGATTATATATACGAGACAATCGATCATTCATTTTTCACCAGAATATCTTGGATTAAAGTTAACTAATAAAAGATAAGAGGAAATTTAACTTTAGGCTGTGGATCGTTGAAATAATGATGTAACTATTAGAGCATAGGAATTTGACGCTGAGAAGACAAACGGATCAAAATGTCTTCCTTATGGTTTGCTTTAAATCATTTACTAGCTACTGATTCAGGGAAATTAAACGAGCCCTGCTTAGACAGTACAATGGCCATTTGAAGCTTCCTTAAGGTGTCGACCACAGAAGATTGATGAAAATTTCATCCAAAAATTTCTTGGAATGTGTTCAGACTTGTAGTCAGCACTTAATAGTAAAGTGAAGCGATATTATGTCACCATTCCAGAATCATTAACACCGGTTCTAACTTCACACTGTTATAGAATGCTGGTAGTGCTGTAGGTTAGCTGAACTATACCAACACCACTACGTGAAGTCTGCCTGGTGTACGATAAATTAGCACTCTACCCATCTTGTTAGTGCTGATGACAAGATGCAAATTGAAAAGGCTCTGATAAATTGTTATGTGCTTTTCCGAGCAGTATATTTGCATATAATAAGATTTCAAGGTGATTCTGAAAAAACGGTGTAATAACTTGTCTAGTGTTACAGTTTGTACAGATGATTCAGAGAATGTAACCGTCCATTGCATAAGCAGAGAGGGCAGAAATGGCGTTGGCACCAGTCTGTACTTGCATACGTTAAAACAAGTTTTAACATTAGAATATGTACGGTAGTGTTCCCAAAAACCTTTTTCAGTGCACACCAGTAAGTGCTTATGAGTGATCTATAGAGAAAACCTCTGGAATAATACGATGTGATAGGGGCAGATTTGTTGCCCAAGACGCAGTCTAACTAATGGTTTCATGATTAAAACCATTGACTGAGTGAATCACATCCCATGGATTCACAAAATTTAAAACCGAAAATACATTCAACGAGAGTGACATTTTACAGCCTAGATTTCTTTAAGAATTCATTGCAGATGTGTTAAGTTTTAAACTGGACTATCTTCTGGGGCCAAGTGAACACAGCGGAAGAGCTTCAAACTAGAATAAGGTGTCTTTCACTTGCTGTCTGGTTTTTACTGGGTCACTCACTGACGTCAGTTCATGACGACAATAGCAACGAAACTAACAGATCTCCACGGACTTAACGTCCTCAAGATACATTACGGATTTTGTGTCCGTACAAGCGATACAAATTATGGTATAAAAATAAACGTCGTTTGTATGAGGAGGACAGAGGAGTATTTTAGATTAATATGCTTAATCGGTTTCTGATAATGGAAACAGGGTAACAGATTCTTTCTTGAAAAGTAAAAATATATGCGTAAATAACTGTTTTCTGTGCTATCCTGTTGCAAAACTAAACAGCAACACTCATGGCCATATAAGGAGTATCCCAGTCGTCCAGCAGACTGCGACGTAACCTTACTTTTTGGCAAGCTACGTACTAAGATATATCGAAATCTTTAACGATTTTAAACTTGGCTGTCATCTGGGGCAACAAACTGCTAATCACACGTCACACACTTCACTTGCTAGATGCATGATTGCCAAAGTCATGATGAACATTACATCGTTAATGATAATATGCGGGTGTAAAAATAGGTTACGTATTAGTAAGAATAGTGACAGCAATAAATTAGTGATTGGAACAGTAGAAAGGGACGTTCATTTTTCTGCAGTTAGTAATTTCCTGCCTAATTATTTCTTTATCCTATATAATTTGCGTGTCACGTAATGCATCGTGGACAGTTTCGTCGTGTGAGCACAAAATTTGTTATAACAGCGTGAAATCCTGCCTGAGGATATCCAAGAGGAAATTTGTGAACAAAGAGAATGCTGGGATTCTGACAGAACGACTTTCGCCTATTCAACGGATGAGTTCAAATGCCTGCATATACCAACACTGACAAGTTGACATAGAGACACACTATTCATTCTACCGACAGCTTTCGGTGTCCTCAATGCACAAAATTAACACAGGAAAGATCATTGGTGAGTAACAGAGTGTATCAATACCCATAACTAATGTGTGAGGTAGCGCCAAATTTGTCCTACCATCAGGCACCTTCTTTGTGAGTCTCACTACTCTTCTATCACGAACTGCGCGCTATTTGCTGACAGCCTAGAAATAAGCCTAAATCACTGCACAAAGTGGCGCAGTATGCTTCAATCCACCAGAAGGGCAGTCCAAACCTAGTGGCAACATATTAATTATAGTAATCTTCTTTTTAACTGTCGTTTTCAATATTCGTGACCTATCGCATGCTGCTCAGTAGAAATGGTGGTGGTCACTAAGGTGAATCGCCACATTCTTCAATATGCAATTTGACGGCTCGAGATTTTTATGAGGGCTTGGATCGTTATCTTGAAAAAGGTAATAATGATCGCCTAGATAGGTGTTGCTTCTGCCTTTAAACATATATCATTCGCTCAGCCTATTGTTGAGATGCGACCCTGTGGGCTCTGCACAGATTCATAAGGCATCTTACAAATTAACATGCTTTCCATTGTCGGATCTTTGAATATCACTTAACAATGTCTCATCTCATTCATTTTCTAATAACGTCTCCACTTGCTCCCCATTATATTCCATTAAACCTAACATTTTATAGCTCTTTATGAATTCGATTCGACCTATTCTATTCCTATTCTCTGTAGGGTGCGGTTGTGCACCAAATACACAAAAAGGTATGAAATAAAAACAACCGGCTTGAGGATAATTGTATTGTAACCAAAAGTGGACATCATGATAGTAAGACCTATATAGGTAGCATTATACATTGCAAATGAGCGTTGTCAGCCTAGGGGTTATAGTCTCCCATTGTATCTCCTTTATGAATGCATCTATTAATGATACATTACGCTTACTTATTTCATTACACTTTACTGATTCACCTTAGCACTTTTACTTTTCTAAAACAGCTTTCAATCCCATGTAAATGTAGTACTTACCTCAATATTGGTTGGTTATCGTGTGAAGCTGACTATAGCGTCTTTCCTGCCACCACGGGTTGAAAACGAAACGAAGTCGATTTCCCCGCGCAACCTGGAGGACTACTGTACAATTCAATAATTATACGGCCTGATTCAGACAATGAGTGTATTTATATACGTATCAAATATTTAGCTGCTGAAACATTATTAACTTGTAGACAATCTACTATTTGAGATTATATCATACTTGATCGTGCCTGTAAAAATGGTATGCATTTTCGTGTAAATTTATATGTTTATATGAAAATATACATGTGGTGATTGACAATTTCTATATCTGTATTATTTAAATACTTAGTGTTTCTGTTAATGTATTTATTATATGATTTGAATAATAATTCCGCCAAGTACAAATTCCTAAATTTATCCCTGTCTGTGTATCGGTTGGTCGGTCATTGCGAAATACTGCTATTACAAATAATTATGACATTTTGGCGTCGCGAGCAGGATTAAATAATCTTGGAAAGTTTACTATCAATGGTTGACCGCGGGAAATCTCTGATTATCTTGGATGTTTCGACGCATGGTTCATGTCAAGGAATGTTCGCGATGACAAAATTTCAACTCATTTTATTACTGCTATTGGGCTAGATGCGTACAGACTAGTGAAAACTCTGTCATTTTCTGATAAACCAATTTCTCTGTCTTATGATAAACTCCACGAACTGCTAACAAATCACTTCCAAATAACAACTTTCGAAACACGAGAGAGGGCTCAGTTCAACAAACTTGTTCGTGCTCCCAACCGGAAGATAAGAGACTTTTTTCTCCAACTTAAATAAATAAATATATTTATTCTCATAGTACAGTACATGAGAGACGCCAGTTTACAGGCATCATCAAATTGTTACAGAAATGGAACCATATAATTCAATCACAATTTACAGGCAGTAGCAAGATATGCTTTACATGTTCGCTGGAGATTATACATACACTTGATAAATGTTAATCCCAGTAGTATAAAACAGCCTTTTCACTTATATACAATCATTTCTGTGCAAAGTTGGAAAAATCTGCTAGATTGTCAGTGAGTGCAACACAACAGGAAATACAGGAGTATTGTCTTCGCATTAACAAAAATACCAGGTCTTTGGTGGATGGATTATAAGTGCCTGGGAAAAAAAATAAAGCTTGAAGTAAATATTCATACATAACTTTGTTGTGTGCAGAGTCCTCGAATTATAGTTCATTGATGTGTTATTTTGAAATCAGTGATGTGTTTATCTCATTTGATCTTCAATGTCATTGTTGGGAGTAAGTACATAAGCTTCGGACGCATTAATTAATGGATTTCTACTGCTAGTGGGTATTTTCTTAGCGTTAGGAAGGTTTATGAGTTTCAGCTGTTCCGACAGGAGTTGAGAATATTGACTGCTCAGCAACATTATGGGTATAAGTTCATCACATTATCTAAGGAAAGGTGGGTTGCAGTTGGTCAGGGATATATGGTGCCCAACGAGCGTTCATCTGTCCTTGTGATGTTGTGGTGAGTTATACCTTTTCCATGTTGTCGGTTTATATCCATTTTATTCCACTTATTGTGTTGGGTAGTGGTTTTACAAACGAGATTTCTTGTCTGTTTGAGGATACGTATGTTAACCGTTAATGTTTTATCTAGAATTATAAATACAGGCAAAAAACACAACAGGTGTAGTATTTAAGCTTATACATTAAATGGACCTATAATTTCGGAGGCTCTCAGATAGGAACTAGAACTACTATCGTTTGCAAACTTTTGTAGTTTGTCATTAAGCACCTTTTTGAAGGAGGCCAATGTACTTGCTTGACGCATTTCCATTGGCAGTTTATTCCATATCTGTGCACACCTAATCAAGTAAAACTTTTGCCTGGTGGCTGTTTTACATTGTTCGATAGCTACTGTACCCTTAGTGTGTCTTAGTTTGTAACCATTGTCATCTGAAAGTCGAGTGCCATTAGTAGAGGATACAAGCTTCAAATTGTAACTTTGGAGATCAGCTACTTACTCAACTACGTGATCGTCTAATTGCTGGAATCAATATCCCTGAGTTAGAGAAAGAGTTGGTTCAGATACCTTCCTTCACCTTTGAAACTGCTAAGGATTTATGTATTACATATGAAGATGTCAACAGTGACTACCCAGCTACCACTACGCCAGAGTCTGATGTCATGCTGTCCAAAGTTGATAATAAAAGTGTTCATTGAAAGAAATGCAAACTGTCGTCCACATGTAATGTAATGCAGACAGAAAGCAAGAACATTAAACCGTGTTTTTCCTGTGGAAAGATTCACCTACGAAGCACTTGCCGTTTTCGGGGTGCTAAGTGCCATAAATGTGGTTAAATTGGACACATCAAGTCCGTTTGCAGAAGTTCAAATACTTATGCTACTCATGATTCTCCCAAACTGTCTGATAAAATGAAGTCAATATCTCTTTCAACTTTTCACAATACCCAATCTCATCTAATGAGAACCTTCACTACAAGTTCAGGCAAGTCCCACTGTTTTATAATTGGTACTGGGAGTACTGAATCTATAATTTCTAAGAAAGGTTTACTATCGCTCTGTAAGCGTGCCCAGGTAGACATTAGAACTAGTTCAATTACACTTACTACTGGTCATAAACTACCTCTTATTGGTACTACTAACATGTTTGGAATCAGATAATGGTAGGTTTGTGTATATCCCCTTTTTTGTTAGTGAATATGGTCCATCTTTATTGGTATTGAAAGCCCTTAGATTGTTAAATGTCGAAATCTCGCTTTGTACTGAGTTGTTTGATGAATCTTTGTTCAGAGAATTAGTTCTCCAATGTTCAAAGAGTGTAGGTGGCATGAAGATTCAGCCCATCCATCTTGAAATCGAATGGTGAATATATTAGACATCAAAGATTATTCAATTCATAACAGTGAGAAGTAGGTCGTTCCGATTATAATTTTAATGATTCCACTACTAATCCTGATTTTGTAGATCATTCAGAAATAAGTCCAGATGACAATGATGAAAATAATATCACAGAGTCAGATAGAAGATCGCAGAGACTTGCAAGCAAACCGAGACCTCATTATAAATACGCAAGGAGACATTCAACATGTGGCGGATGTGGTGATTGACAATTTCTATCTCTGTACTGTTTAAATACTCACTGTTTTTTGTTAATTTATTCATTATATGATTTGAATAATAATTCTGCCAAATACAAATTCCTAAGTTCATCCTTCTCTGTGTTTTCGTTGAATTCATGTAATTCGGTCATTGCGAAATGCTACTATTACAAATAATTATCACAATACATTATTATTATTGTCAGTGGCATATATCCATTCATTTTCATGTCTCCAAACCACTTAATAAAATATAGAATGCATGTGCATGGTCTATGTTATACATGCTGTCCATTTTTCACTAATATTGCAGACTTATTACATATTTTTATAGCTGCTCCTAGATATCAAGGAAAGTTATGTCCACAAACCAGAAGGAATATGTGCGTATAGTAATGGTATAATGCTCACAGTACTCACGAAATGTTGGCGGTTCTAACCTCAGCCAGCACACTAATAAACCTAACCCAGAAAAGAGGGAATGTTGGGCGTGAGGCTAGCAACCAAACCCCATATAAAGATGCTGACGTCCTTGAAACCTGAAGAAAGCTTGGAACTGTGCTCCTCACACTGAACGGAAATGGATGAAGAATGGATAATAATAATAATAATAATTTGCTTTATTCCAAAACAGTACTTGTGATACAGAATGGAATTCTCAGCATTTTTACTACAGTATTGCATCCAGTTAGTACATTGTCAATAAAATAGAATTCTACATAGATTGAGGAAACCACAGTTCATTATTACAACAATACATTGGCATGTTCAGTAGCAAAGGTAAAGCTGAAACAGTGTTTGAAGGTGTTAGAAAAGTGGGAGCTGTCTTATTAACTGGCGTAAGCGAAAGAAAGAGAACAAAGCAGCACATAACGGAAAAAGAAGAGAGAGGAAAGGAACAGAAAGAAAGGAAATGTTGAACCTATTGATGAAGTGGGTTGGAAAGATGAGATCCAGTTGTACTACTGACTGTTTAATGAATTATAGGTGTCACGCCTAATGCTTTCTTTATCACACAGAACGCGAGCTAAGTAGGGTATGGTTGAGTTTTTGTACTTGCTGGTACGAGCATATAGTTTTCTATATTGGCTTCTGGTTTTACCTGATGAGATGCAAGGGGAGAGTTGTGAGTGAAGAGGGTGGTGTGAGTTAGATAAAATGGACTTGGCCCATTTTTCACATGAGTCCACAAATGGTAACCATTCGTTGAAAAGATAAAATTTACAAACTAGATATCAATCCCTTTATCATATTCCACATAAGTTCTCTTTAATGTCAGAGTGCTTATTCTTAGAACGCGTCTTTTAATGGTTAGAAGGGTTGCCTGAAAGTGCCACAATCGCTCATACTAGCAGAAGAAGCACTCTGAAACAAGTTGCAAATCCTATGAACTACCCACCCACTCAACTCAGAAGGTATATATATCTATGAGATTGAATTTCACGGAAGATTTATAACTGCTCCTCGACGGTTGCAAGCAAATCAGGAAGTATGTGCAGGCCTACTCTGAATGTATTCAATATTCAATATCTATTTGTTTTTTTCACTGAATTTATTAGGACTGGAGCTTGTGGTGTTTTGAGTGTGTGAGCTACTGCGCAATACAAAATTATGACTCAGAGTCCTGGAGTTATTGTTAGTCCCTATTCGTCTCATTTACTGCCTAGGTCGCCATTGTAGCCTCAGTGTCAGCGGTTGTTGCTGTGTCAGGAGTTGTCTTGGGACTTATCTTCAGAGAGAAAAAGCCTAAGAAGACTCTTATTGATAATGACACTAAAATAAGTCTACGTGTGGTAGACAGAAATGTAAGAAAAACTCCATTTAGCTTAAATTAATAGTTCATCACGCATGATACTATCCGTCTGAAGTTGGGTTTGCCCACAACTGATCATGTTTTGGGACTGCCTGTCGGTATGATTATGATATCACAAATTATTTTTGCACTAGGTAACCATGTATATTTCAGTGCCAAAATAAATGGGAATTTGGTTGTCCGACCATATACACCTATCTCACTGGACACTCAGAAAGGATATGCTGACTTCGTCATAAAGGTATGTTTCAATATGTTCAATGTTAATTCAAGTAGAGAAGTAATTCTGAATAAATAATTGCTGTAGTTCATTTCCAAGTGCTTGAACACTAGTGTGATTACCGGGTAACCTTGCATTCATAGTATTTGAGCATATCCTATAGTGGGCACGGAGATGTTAAATAAATCTTTGTGGGTTTTGTGTTAACTAGTCGAGTAGCTGCTTGTTGTCGTAGGTAAAACAAAACTGGTCATACGATATAGGTCTAAAACTCTCACCAAACATTTCATTCAGTTCGCTTTCTTGCTTTGTTTACTAGAGTACGTCATACCATAATCATTATTATTGTTCCCCTATGTTGTGAGTGGAACAATGGGCTCCAACAACACATCTTCACTTTTTTCTATTTCCTGTTGTCCCACATACGTGGGTCCACAATTGCCCATAATCCCTCGTCTCCCCTTCGCACAATCTCCTCCATGTCACCCTAGGACGAACCACTCGTCGCCTTACATTTAGATTCCACCCTAGGGCCTGGCGCATGATGTCATTCGACTGTCTCCCTAGCATATGCGTAGTTTACCTCCATTTTCTTCTACATATTTGTTGAACGATAGGTTCTTGGTTAGTTTGTTCCTAAAGTTTCGTCCTGCTAATTATTGCTGACCTTTTGATCTTCGATATGGAGCCGGTAAAGGCTGCTCATAATCATATCAAGTTGATATGATTATGAGCAATAGTTTGTGCTCGAAACGTCATCAGTTATTATTACTGTATAACACTGTGTGATTTATCAAAATAAAATCTTATCCATAATGGAGTTATACTCTACCACAGTGCCCAAGTTTTATACTTATGGCAGAGGCTGCTGTTGATGAAATTCTACAATCTGTTGGAAGTCTTTTCCGTAACACGCCAAGTTTCTGATCGTATAAAAGAATTAACCTACCATTGTTAAAAATCCAAATCTTGTTTTTTACATTGAGTGCAGTATACTTCCAAACTGATCTCAGATTAGTGAAGGCGTATCATGCCTTTCCAATAGGACCACTTTTAGGACCATTAAAATATCGAAATATTTTTATGTGGCGTATATGTAGCCCTGCGTTATTCTTTCACCCAATACACGAATTCGTAGAAAAATTAAAGTTACAATAAGTATCGGTTGTCGTTTTGAATGTTTTTAAAAAGGGATTTATTTAGGTACTTCTAAATATCCTCTATCAGCAAATTTTTTTTTATAGCAGTAATTCCTTTCTAAAGAAAACTTTATTATATTAACGTGTGTTCGCAAACATCTGTTTGCTTTCACTGGCATAATTTCTTGTGATATTATTTTCATTCAGGTTTACAAAGCAAATGTTAATCCTAGATATCCTAATGGTGGGGTAATGTCACAATATGTTGCCAATGTTCCTATAAACGGATTTATTGATGTCCGTGGTCCATCTGGAAATTTAGAATATAAAGGATGTGGTATGTCAGCTTTAAATTTGTCTTTTTGGTTATTTATTTTCTAAGAACGTTTGGAAATTTTTTAGATCTGTTGTAAGTGTACTTGTAGAATTCGTTGTACTTGCCACATAGACTGACGTCTTTATAAAAACATTCGTGACATGATTGGAATGAACACATGAAAAGCTTCCCTGGACGCTTGCAAGAACCTTTGGGGAATGTTCATTACCCCTTAAAATGGAAATGGTTGAGTTGTGGTTGATCACATTCAACATGTACTTGTATTGACTTTGATGGGTCGGCTTTCAAGATTTAGACTTAAAATACATAAGAATTACTCGGCTTTTGCCAACTTGTGGCAGTCAGGGCTTAATTGTACCCCACAATAGTACATGGTCTTTAAAAATGTGGGTTTTAAAAATGTTTAGAAGTCTAACCACTATTACATCCATAGTACCTTTCGCATAAAGTAATGCGAAACGTGAATGATTTGGTTGGTTATGTTGGGGAACTGTGTTAACTGAGTTTATTGTAAGAAGGATCATGCATAGTAACCTTAAGCTGCACTGTCCTCTAAATTAGAGTCAGATTGAAGTGTGGAGAAATAGGCCGGTTAAGACATACCTCCAATTTTCGTGGTTTTGAATTGGTTAAATAAAGCGTTTGTTGAGGTATAGGAATTTTGCTTACGGCTACAAGATAATCAAAATCTGAAGTAAAATTTGTCGTAGAAATATATTTGTAGTTCCATTTCTAACTCCCAGTATCAACTTTCACATATCTGTGACTTTATGCTAGCTATCACTTTTACTTCACTTTTCGTTTTGTGGATCTTCAGTCCTGTATATTACTATGAATTGAAACAACAATATAAACTTTTAGTCAACGATATTAGTATCAGTTCAAAAAAGTTAGTCTGCTTATTAAGTAGTATTTTTTTTGGTCATTTTGAGATATAACTAACTGACTGAGTCTCCGCACAGAATTTTGCACAGAAGTGCGACACTTCAAGTTACCGTACTTCGTGTAGAAAAAAGAAATTCAAAGGAACCGTAATGAGTAAAAATATCTGAAAGTGAGAATGACGAACATGGGAAATCATGAGGGTGTAATGGATTTCGGAGAATACAAAGAGTGAATGTATCTGCGCCATTGAGAACGATTTTGCACCATGTTATCAGCAGTCTCTACCAGTCATTGATTCTTTGCATTCCAAGGACTCCTACTAACCTGTTACATCAGAATGTATTACATTACTCTTTTGTAAAGTTGAATATATTGAGGAGTTTTCGAAAAAGTTGTCATGATTTTGTCTATCAATACAGAGTAATGGCAATAGGTGAATTAGTTGGTGAACGTTCTCATGTTTTAACAGTCGACAGTTTCTGAGCTGTTTCTCTGCTATTTAATTTATGACTACAGAACATTAACCCTAAAGACCTTATTTTCATCTATCTGAAACATTTCCTGACTCTTGGATCATTTCGCCTTAAAAACAATTCATTGAATTATTTATTTTTATAAAAAGTTAGCTATTTATTGACGTCGAAATATTTTGTTCCCCATCAGTAACCATTTCATTTTGAGGAGGATCGTCAGAACCTCTTTTCTTAGAGTTTTGAAGTCAAGGAATAGTCCTGAGACTTCACATCACTACATTAGGTGATATATATATATTCGAACTACTGAAAGGCCGATCTTTTATGATGAACAAAATTATTTCAACTGTGGCAAGCTGTTGTGTAATTACAGTCTAGTCTATCGTCTCCCCCGACGGGCATTACTAGCTGATATAGGTGCAGGTTGGAAAAGAGTAAGTGGTGGCCAAACAAAAACATGACATCAATCCATGAAATCCCTGACAGTTAAACTGAGTCAGGTAGGGAGATGCAGACTTCCGGGTTGGGGCCCTCGGGACTCTAAGAATCAATGGCTGGAGACAATAGGTGACATGGCTCAAAATCGTTGTCAATGGCCTTCGCAGATATATTCAGTCTCTTTAACCTTCATATTCCTTTCTACCATTACTCATTCTGTTTCACTCCTATACTTGTCAAAACCCTACTGATTCTCTTCACTCATTTTCTTGTCTACCTTTGTGTGCTATTTGGGACGTGGCAACTCGAACTGCCGTACTTCGGTGCCAAGTTCTATGTTGAATCCAGCAGCAGGAGCAGTAATTACAGTGGGAATCCTCAACTACATCACTTTTGATTAAGCTTATATCTAAAAATGGGTACTTATCTACTTACTATATTATATACATATATATATATATATATTCCTGCTTGTGTTATTGTATTGATGGACTGCCTTTAGCTATTCGAATTTTTCGTATCATTTATGTGAGCCGATTGGTTTCATCCATTAGTACAACTAAACACAACCCCTGTAAAATCTTAGCAGTTGTTAATCCTTCAGAAAGTGTTTAATTTCATCATAGAAGTAGTAATGGAATTGATTTTAATTGACTTTAGCGACTTAGCGGTTGGCTTGTTGCCAGAGTGTAGTACGCAGATGAAGACGCTGGACATGTTGAGTGGAAATCTTCGAATATTTGGTATTTGATTCACTCCTGTTGAATGTAAGGTGATACAGCAGGACTGGTTTTCAGTGAATCGTAGTTTAAAGCTAAGTAGTGGTGGTTCAGGGTGTTGATCACTTCACTGGTTTGGTAATTTGCATCAGCTCTAATGAACTAAACATGAATACAAAAGACTTGTGCGGCTCTTACCAATCTACATCATCTCTGGAGTGGAAGTGATATTCGGCTATCGATCAAAGGACGCGTACTGCTCAGCCGTTCGCTCTGGCCTTCTTTATGGCTGTGAGACATGGCCATTGAAAAGACTAGCTATCTTTGACCACATATATGCGTCGTCTGTTCCCCATGTTAGGTGGCATAATATGGTGGGTAGTTTTTTGAGGTCAAGCATAGAGTATTTGGTAACGAGGATAAATTAATGGATAAGGTTGTGGAGTTACGTTGATTGGTGTGATTAGGACGTGCGCTTCGCATGCCCAACCATCGCCTTCCTCAATGGACGATGTTAACGGACATAGATAGGGCTGGGTTAGAAAGGAGTTAAGAGAGGTCAAACTAAAACCCGGAATCAATACATGAAGTATTGACAGTTGGTTTGTTGATCCAACAGGGAGGTGCAGACTGCCCGGCCGGGGTCCTCTGGAGGCTAAGATCCAATGACTGGGGACCACTGGCCATATGGCTGAATATTGTTATTAATGGCGCAGATGCACTCAGTCTTCGTGATCTCCCAGATCCATTGTATCCTCGTGTGTTTGCATGTTACTGTTCTTTCTCCTGTACATTTCTACTCATTACGGCTCTTTTGAATTTTTTTCCTCTCTCTTCTCTCTAACTTTCTATTCTTCATGGAGTGTGGCAATCTGAACTGATGCACTTCTTTACAAAGTTCCATTTTGAAACTCAATCATTCAGAAAGTGCAGGCATGTGTAGTCATGGAGATAGTAAGCAAAGCCTCTTAGATTTTTGATAGATAATCTGGTTTATATAGACTAGGTTTCTGAAAGTTCCTTGATACTTATCCGTTCACTAGGAGTAAATACTGTCATCACAGTAGTTTCCCTTCGAAAGTATCCAACGTAGAGGTTAAATAAAGACACTCAGTACTTGAACGACACTATCGTGATGGCTTGTATATCCCGACATGGCTGTTAATTCTTTGCTATACAGTTACTTTTATTTTATTGGACAAAACTACTACTTATAGTTTTCTTTCAAAGTGAAGTATCCCTCATTATTCTGTATGTACTTATTATCCCCCCCCCTCTTCATGCATCCGTTCATTGTAGTTCCCTTGTGTTTTCCTGTACATTTGTGTCATTATGGAGTCTGGTAACTTTGGATGGCTGCAATTCTGTGCAGAGTTCTACATTAGGAGATTACTAACATGCCTAAGGTTCAAAACGACAGTTGAGCTAGGTAGAATTTTCGCAATTCTCTACTCTTCATCATCTTTAACAGCAGTAAATTTCTCAGTATGCTTCTGAAAAAGGTTCATGGTCATGATAGTCTGAGGGCTGAGAGAAATGACTCAACTTTGAGCAGTAAAACTAGGTTTTAAAATCTTGTGAATTCACCTTTAGTGCATAAACTGTACTTGAATTGTTTCTTAGTTCCATTAATATAAATTTTATTATGTGTTGTACGGGTATTTCGTATGCACTCCGAATCTAGCTGTTATCCATTTGTGTAGATGCTTGACTCCTTACCCAAAGGGTTACAGGTTCGAACTCTGTTTAACTTAGGCAACTAGGTAGCTTCAATAACCATAAAAAAAGGTATAGTAATACTAATAACAGCTTAATCTTAGAAAATAAGTTAACACATAGTATTTAGATAGCGAAATATCTACCCTTCGTACAGGATTTTCAAGGAAAGTGTTATTCAGCAGTAAGTGGTGTGACGCTGTGTTGTCCCATCTGAAGCGATATCCAAACCCCTACATAATATATTTTCCTCATTTCTCTTGAGAAGTCCTCTGCATTGCAGCAAACTAACACTGTACGAAGTCATGTAGCAATCCAAAACAGTGAGGAGTAGATACCATGGTCAAATGACCTTGAACCGGCCAATCACATATTTCCTGGTAAAAGGTAGCATTTACAGTGTAAAACAAGTATGCTTACTGAATATATGTATAACAGAAATGAATAAGATAGGGTATATGTCTCTAATATGTTGCAAAAGGAGGTCTTTGTCTGTCTGGATTCAACATAGAACTTGGCACCAAAGTGCAGCAGTTCGAGTTGCCATGTTCCAAATAGCACACAAAGGTAGACAAGAAAATGAGTGAAGAGAATCAATAGAGTTTTGACAAGTATAGGAGTGAAACAGAATGAGTAATGGTAGAAAGGAATATGAAAGATTACAGAGACTGAATACATCTGCGCCATTGACAACGATTTTGAGCCATGTCACCTATTGTCTCCAGCCATTGATTCTTAGAGACCCGAGGACGGGCCCCAACCCGGAAGTCTGCATCTCCCTCCCTACCTGACTCAGTTTAACTGTCAAGGATTTCATGGATTGATGCCATGTTTTTGTTTGGCCACCACTTACTCTTTTTCAACCTGCACCTATATCAGCTAGTAATGTCCGTCGGGGGAGGCGATGGTTAGGTATGCGCAGCAAGTGACCTAGCCATCTCAATCTATGTAACTTTATAGCCTCTTCGATTGATTTTCCCTCTTTGCCCAACACTACGCCTAACGTCAACATTACTTACCTTATTATGCCACCTAACGTGAGAAAGAGATTGTAAACATCTATGATCAAAAACAGACAACCTTTTCATGTCTTCAACTCGTATTGGCCATGTTTCAGAGCCATAGAGAAGGACGGAGTGAACTGCTGAGCAGTACACACGTCCCTTGGTTGATAGCCGGATGTCACGCCTACGCCAGAGACGGTGTAAGTTAGCGAAAGCTGAGATTTCGTCGCCAATCAGTCCATTGGTGCTGATACAACTTCCGAAATAGGTGAAGTGGTCAACATGTTCTATCACTTCACTCCCTATCACTAAGCTAGGAGTTGACGTAGTCCAGTCCTGTAGCAGCATCTTACATTTTACAGGGGCGAATCGCATGCCAAACATACGAAGATTGCTGCTCAAGGTGTTCAGAAGACTCTGCATTTTGTCAGCATCCTCCCCTAACAGAACTATGTCGTCTGCGTATTCTAAGTCTATAAAACTATTCCCTGGTAACAAGTCGATTCCTAAGTCGTTAAGTTCAGTTAAGGATACTTCCATTAGCATATCTATGATGAAGTTAAACAGAAAAGGGGAAAGTGGACATCCTTGACGGACACCACTGGTTGTTATCAGTTCAGATGACAATTCCCCATAAGCCCTTACTCAGCTACGTGAGTTTGAGTAGAGTGCCTCGATTAGTGCAATGTACTTTCTTGGCACTCCCTTCATAGTCAAACATTGCCATAGTACCTCTCGATCCACGGAGTCGCCTTCAAGTCAAGAAATATGGCAATTGTTGGACGCCTAAAAGTGTGTCTATGTTCTAGGATCTGTCGGAGAGTGAAGATATGATCTATGCACCCTCTACCTGGCCTAAAGCCTGCTTGATTTTCCCTCGTTTGTCCCTCCCGAGTTCGGCTTAGTCTGCGCATGATTACTGAGCCTAGGATTTTAGAAACTATGTTCGTTAGGCTGATTCTCCTCTGATTAACACATGAGGACTTGTCTCCCTTCTTGAATATCGGTATAATAAGTAAAAAAAGAGGTCTCAGTTACCCACAGGAGTGACTGTTGTAAATAAACAAGCATCTGTATGAGCAGCAGTTATACTAACCACTGATTCTGATGAATTATTGATTTTATGATGGACATAACCTAACGATGATAGTCCTATTGCTCAGTATTTCAAAAGGATATAGTCCATAATCATCGTTGCAAGTTTCACCTCAACCGTAACCATAACCCTACCTTAATCCTATCCTAACCCTAACCTTGATACAGGGTGAGACTTGCAATGAAGTTTACAAAAAGCATTCATTTGTAATGTTGAACGATCTGATTGGTCGGCTCAAGGTCACTTGGCCGTGGTATCTATTCTTTTTAGGGTTGCCAGTTAGACTTTTAAACAATAAGAAATGGAGAAGAGTTTCTGCCAGTGATTTAACCAGGCCACTAGATTTCCTGGTTCTGACTTGTGGCTTATATTCGACAACGCAGGAATTCAAGTGGCTTTTGAAGTGGACATCCATAAAATTTACTAGTTCGGTATTTATTTTTTTTCGGCATTTCTTGTGGCAAAAATAACTCAGTTTAATTTACCATTATTTTATACTACTCAAAACACAATAGACACATAAAATCTCATTTTTCATTTTCATTTATTTTTCTTCTCTCTCTGTAGGTTTATTCCATATTAAACCAGATGCACGTAGTGCACCGAATCCTGTGAAAGTCAAGCGTGTGAATATGGTTTGTGGTGGTTCTGGTATTACACCAATGTTCCAACTTTTGTCGTATATTCTTGAATCTAAGAATGATACAACTCAAATAGCTATGGTCTTTGCCAATGTGGTATGTGCACTTTTACTCGCTCTGTGTGTGTGTGTATTTGTGTCTGGGGGTACATGTGTGTACGATTGACTGTGTACTTATGAATAATAATCGCATTTATTTCTAAGTGTAGTTAGTAAACTATAATTATATTAGGTAACTTGAGCTATTGTTTATAATCTAATATATTAAATATTCCCTTAGTAAAATTTAGAACAACACATTTAAGCGAACAACATTGTGCTTTCAATGAGATCTCATCAGGCCTGACTCTAATATACCTACGTAACTTGACAAATAAAAATTCAAATATAAACCAATCGTGGTGTTTTGTCTATAGGATAATAAGATGGTGAATATAAACAGTACAATTAGTCATAATAGTAATAATAATAATGGTTTTGTCAATAATAAGGATGAAAAGGTGAGGCAACCTGTGATAACACGAATAACTAAAAACAGCATGATTAAACAAAATAATGTTCAGGTGGAAGTAGTCGATAAAGGCTAGTAAAAACAAATGAACCGATCAAGTAATGCTAGATGGTAAGGGAAAGAAATGAAACACGTTCATAATGAAGATGTGATAAGATTAAGGGATGATAAGAAAGGGGCTAAAAAATATAAACAAGGCGTGGTGTAGAAGTCATTAGTTGGTTATATGTTAATAGGCCAAGGGAGGGATAATGGCTGTACGAACTTCTTTTGAATGCATAGTTTAGGCTTAATAGTTCGAATGCTTATCGCCTCAGCTGTATGCAGTAGACGAATACTAAGTCTATTGGAAAGATTCGGTGGGATCCGATGAATTACTTTGAAAGCTCTTGCTTTCCCGACTATCAACTAAGTGTGACAAAATTGAGCTACGGATTGTTTTTGTCTGTCCTTTGCCGAACGACGATGGGAGATGTTCACTAACACGTTGACTAAGCTGTTTAGTAGTACGCCCAACATAACTGTCACCGCAGGTGCAGTTGTGAATTGTACATAGATGTGGCAAAACTATCAAGCTTATCCTTCGTTTTCGTCCCAATCATTCGTCGGCTAGAGAATAAAAAACATAGGTGTGCTGCGTAAAATGTTCTTCGTATACTCCTTGAAAGTCTTTGGAATAAAATCTCACTTGATAAGTCACCATTAAATTGTAACTTAATAAATAGAGGTTTCTTACGTACAGTCAGAGTCTCAGGTGTTTTCTCTGATGTTTTCATATGTTTCTTTATGAAACTACTCGGATAGCCCATCTCCGTCAAGGTATCGTGAATATATTCAAATTCCTTTTGTAAGAGGTCATCCGTACATATTTTTCTTGCTCTGCTCGCAACTAATGACTTCTACACCACGCCTTGTTTATATTTTTTAGCCCCTTTCTTATCATCCCTTAATCTTATCACATCTTCATTATGAACGTGTTTCATTTCTTTCCCTTACCATCTAGCATTACTTGATCGGTTCATTTGTTTTTACTAGCCTTTATCGACTACTTCCACCTGAACATTATTTTGTTTAATCATGCTGTTTTTAGTTATTCGTGTTATCACAGGTTGCCTCACCTTTTCATCCTTATTATTGACAAAACCATTATTATTATTACTATTATGACTAATTGTACTGTTTATATTCACCATCTTATTATCCTATAGACAAAACACCACGATTGGTTTATATTTGAATTTTTATTTGTCAAGTTACGTAGGTATATTAGAGTCAAGCCTGATGAGATCTAATTGAAAGCACAATGTTGTTCTCTTAAATGTGTTGTTGTAAAATCTACTAGTCATTTGTGCCACTTGTGTTAATCATAAAATTGTTCACTTAACAAAAATTGTTTATTATTAATAGCTTTTTAAGAATGATCACGAACTGATTTCAGTTAGAGAACCATTGTAAACCAACACAGGGAGTCCTTGCTCGAGACTCTTCAGCTATACGCAATCTTAACCCCATCAGGGACTAACACTAGAACCTTCAGGTTATGAGGACAGATCATAGCTAATTGAGTCACTGCAATGGAATCCAATGACGGACGGATGCATCAATCCTAACTTCTGCCAATTTGCGATACATAGTGCTACTGCCAGCTAGCTAATGTCGTCGTCGGCTAGTGTTTTTGTGTTTACACTCAACCTGGCGGGTCCTACTGGTCATAACTTCCCACTAGGACTTAAGGTATCTTCATCTTGTGAGCATTAGTGTTGGTCCCAATAACAAATGAAACCTCTGTCCAGTACTCCCTTATGATTTTCTCAGTGGTTCTCTAACTGAAGTCAGTTCGTGATCCTACTTGAAGTCAGTCGAATCTCTGCAAATCAACACTTGATAATTCATCTAATGCTCACTAGCGACTGATTCTCTGCAGGAAGATATCTGGAGTTCTACTGAAAAGTCTTAACCAGCGCGGAGTCTGCTGATAAGAGAACAGTTACTCGCTGACGACATTGATTGGCTGTTGCGCTACATATATCATGAATTGGCAGAGGTCGGAATTCATGGGCTGACCACTGGATCGGGCCCCAGTGCCTGAATGGTGTACGAGCTCCTGGGTTCGAACCCTGGCGATGGTAGTCCCGAACTAAGACGAAAAGCTGTCCAGTACTCCGCGCTGGTTTTCCAGTGGTTCTCTTACTGATGTCAACTCGTGATCAAACCTGTGTAAACTTTCGAAACAACTTTCATCTTTGGTGATAGTTGACGGATGGGGAAGGCAGAGGGGAGTGCAGTCGACACGAAGCAAATCCAAATGCCTGCCTTGACGGATAAAATTCGGTAGACACTGAACACTAGACTAGTCTTTACTGAATAATCAGCGTGTGTTTCACTTTCGTCGATAGTGCTAATGCTGCAACTCACTATGAAGGGTCTGTTTGATTGTTTTTGAAAGAATCGGGGAAAATTTGTAACACAGGTGGGGATATTGTTAGTGTTGTTATCTTCTGTGCAATGAATTGTTTAATTGTGAACTTCACTGTAGAGTTACCACAGTAGATGTGCTGTTGACAGTTTCACAGTTAAGCCATCCAACTCAGAAAATACCCCAAACATCAAGAAAGTAACTGTCTGTTCATTAAATCCATAAGTCAGATTTGATGCTTGCGTGTGTGTTTTGAAATTTATAAGGGAATATTCTGTGGCTCAAACCGTATTCTATGAGATCGATGGGCTGAAAATCCCAGCCTATTTACTTGACTGACCTGACGCCATAACGTGTTATTCAGTGAAATGATGTTTAAAACTATTCATTCATGTTCACCATTTCTTGAGTGAGAGGTTGGCCAGCCCTATTTTGGTATAGAGGGTCTCCTGGAACGAGTGTCCCTATAATAACCAGGGTTCATAACTTGGAGTTACTTGTAATCCAGTAGCTTAGTGGATAACTCTTTGGTCTTTGAGGTGATGAAGGGTACTGGCGTTGAGTTTCAATGTGGGAACATCATCACTACTCAGTGGGAATGCAGGTGCATCCAGCTGAGGAGTTTAAAATAGGAGGAGATGCACATTGTAGACTCCACTCGCAGGCACCATCAAACATGTAACTTCTAAATGAGATTTCTGTACTTTCTTTTCTATTCGTCATTTAAATGGGTTAATGTTGAGCTTCAGAAGAATACATGGATATCTACTGGGTACATACAGAGTTGGGAGGGGTGTGTAAGGTGTAAATTATCTTTAATACTTATCCAAATCAAGAAATCACAGTAACAAACATCAATCACTAGTTGGCAGGACAGTAAAGTGTGTAAAGTGATGCCTATAATATTTTACCTAATATATCTTGTTTCAATCTTCAAATCATAATCAGTGTTCTCTTTTTGGCATTTTAACTGTATGAGACGTTATTTTAGATTGTGTTTCGGGTTCCTCATGAATCATATATGTTACAATAGTCTTCCGATCTCTGGAATAAGAGACAGAATACCGTTATTTTCCTAAGTAGAAGCCGACTAAGTCATAACTTGATAGAAAACCTATTGAGCTAATCCCTACATATTTTTGAATCATTGAAGATATTGCTCATTGGCTTCGGCGTTTGGCTGGTAACTAACGAATCCTGGGTTTAAATCCCGCTCCACTTACTGAAATCACAACAACTAGTTAGTATGATCAGTCATTTCACAACAACTGTGCCTTATCCCTAGCCCTGGCATATAGCTCATGGAAATTTATTTAGGATATTTAAGTTTGTGAGTTGGTGGCACAGCGGTGGAATGCTTGCCAACCACGCAAGTGATTCGGGGTTCGATTCCCGGCCAACGCACTCCTTTACCTCGCTAAGCCAGTAATAAGACTGGTAAAGAGGGAAGGTTGGGCATGAGACTAGCAACCCCTACTGCTACTGCAACTTCAAGCCTTTCGCTTCAAGCCCTATGTTCTGTTGGGAATGTAAGTCAATAAAACAAATTTTAACAAACAAACTAACTGAATAACTTTCGTGAATGACATCAATAGATTCAAATTGTCGATTAGAAAAAAAGTATATGTTAGAGTTAGTTCTTTCATCAAGTGGTTTGTCGGCTTTCCAGCATTCATTCAGACACATAAATAATAAGTAATTTTTACTCTAAGGACCTCAATTGAACATAGAAAAAACAGAAGTGGTGATAATACCTAACCAACAACAGCAATCAGCCTCAACGGATGAAATCTAAGGGATGTCACTTAATCATGATATTTTCAACTATGGCAGCACTGACGAGGATTTCAAAGCCCCAGCCAGGATCGGTAAAGCAAGGCAGGCCTTTGATCACTCCGAAATCACTGTGGAAATCTACTGTATTCAGCATGATCTTCATGGATCATAGATCTTCAATACTGACGTCAAGTCAGTACTTCCAAATGGTTCAGTGACTTGACCAACGCGTCGTCACCGGAAGCATTTCCAAAAAGCTACAGCAGACATTCATTGAACAGCTGCCTTCTCTGCATACTGAAGATCAAATAGCCGGTCAGAAAGGATAAACAAGTGACAAGGAACATTTGCAACGAATCAGTCAAGAATAAATCTACAGGAAAAAATGGAGATAGATTGGTTGTTATAGGCTAAGGGGGGGGATAGTTGAGGGATATCACGTGTGCCAGGCCCTCGAGTGGAACCCGAATGGGAAATCATAAAGATGAGATGCGCTTCCTAGGATGGTGATGTAGAACAGATTGCATGGGGAAGGAATGAAAGCTTGTAAACAATTAAGGAGCCGGCTAAAATAGACTTTGGATAACAGACTGAAGTGAAGGTGCGCTGCTGAAGCCCACTCCGGGACCCATGGGGATGATAATACATTTAATAGACAATGTAGACGACAGTGTACAGATGAGATATATTGCTGTATTCATTTTAAAAGTCTGGTAAACTTCAGCCAAGGATTTCATAAATCTTCACTTTACAAATAGTAAATTAAGCATGTTATACACTAATTAACACAATCACATGTATATGTGTGTAATGGTCTATTCTGTTATTTCTGTTGTCGCCTTGATTAGGCCATTGAGTTAATACAAAATACAATACAAAATCAAGTTATTGTTGATTGTCATGTTTACACTGCTGAATTATTTTATTATTATTATTATTTTAGAGAAAAATCTGTCTTATTTGGTCATATTGTTTTTATTTCGTTTTGTCATATGATATTGAAATATGCGCGCGAAAAAAATGATGCGTCTCATGTGATTCATTCAAACAAAATGCCATAAAACTTTTATGTATACACACACTCAAACTCACACACCATGTTATTATGGCTTATAACATTGTAACTAATTCCAATGGGGTGTGGGTGGGTAAATTTTACTATTTATATCGCCTTAGAGGAATGCGAAAAATAAGATTAGTCAACTTGTAGTAAATTAAAAAACAAAACAAACTAAGGCTTAGCTCAATCCACCATCATCAGCCTAATTGCAGCTCTCAGTTTAGTGAAGACCACATTCTGAGCTAAGAGTTCTTACTAAAGTTAAGTATCGTTATGCCTTTTCTAATTTAAGTTTGTCATTCAGAGTTGATGTCCACTAAGAGTAAATGGGTAGTATTCTAAAATAAGGTGAATACACGCTTTGCAAAATAAGACTCTTGCTTTAGAACAAAAGAAATTGTATGCGATACAACCTAGAAGTATAAGTGGTTTTGACAGAAGTTGATTGAGTAAAGCAGGCAGAGGATACTGCTTGATGGTATTCTACTCTCTCTGAGCATTGATGCGATTCCACTGCTGTCAAGTAGGGGTATACCCTAAGAACTCAATTATTTCTGCCCAACCCGACTTTCTAAAAAAAAACACAATTACTTTGATTAATTGTCATGCGGTTATCTTCTGGTATGACTAACTATTTTACACCCAAGTAGCTAACCAGAATTTAAGTGGCTTCAACTGGCTCAACTCTCTGAACCGAGTGTCATCGAGTGAACTCGGTCACAACCGGCGTCTAGATCACTTCGATCTTTAATTACCATCACATAGGGTGGTGGTTGGTATGATCGTCAGTACAACTAATGGATTTGAGAGTCTACTCTGCTAATCACTATTCGCCACGACAACCAGCAGTACACGATACCGCTGACAAGTGATGTAAGAAGGGAAAAAGACAGCCCGTTGAGTAGGGGGCTTCCAATGTCTCGGATAAACAGTTCAGATAACCATAATATTCATATATATATATATATATATATATATATATATATAAAGACCAAATTACTATTATTCCCTTGAGTTCCGAGTGGAACATAGGGCTTCAACAATAGATCTCCACTTTGTTCTTTTTTCTGCCGTCCTCTTCAGCTGGGTCCACGATTGCCCATAGTCTCTCATCCCCTCCTCGCCACACAATCTCCTCCATGTCACCTTCTCATTGACGACCCACTCTTCACTTCCCATTTGGATTCCACTCGAGCAGTGGCCTGGCGTGCGATGTCATTCGTTGGCCTCCTCAATGCATGCCCAATTCATCTACATTTTCTTACAAATTTGTTGAGCGATCGGCTCTCGGTTGGTTCGCTCATCGTCAGAGTTTCTTGTTACTTATTCTTTCTGGCCAGGCATTTGGTCTTCAGTATGGGACCAGCGAAGGCAGTTGTCGGTGAAAATCTTCAACCTTTTGGAAATCCTTTTCTTGATACACATTTCAAGTTTCTGACCCATATAGAAGAAGCGCTGACTAACTTCACATTTGTGTTAAAAATCCAAATCTTGTTCTGTATAATACTTATTGCAGAAGATTTCCAAACTGGTTTCAGGTTGGTTGATGAAGGCATATCTCGCCTTTCCGATTCTGGCTGGTTTTGACGTCTTCATCCGTTCCGCCTGTAGTAGAGAGTATGCTTCCCAGATAAGTGAAGCCAGGAAGTAACCTCTGTTAAATCTCTCCCGTTGATGGTGATTGGTGCTGGTTGTTGTTGTTGTTGCTGTTCGTTGGTTATCTTCATTACCTCCGTTTTCTCTATGTTCACCTGGAGTCCTGTCTTCGGTGGTTGCTTCTTCAGCCAGTTTGTCGGTTTTCACCAACCAGCTAACCAGCCATCCCACCCCATTAAAACATCTCGCCTCTACTAAAACTTCAAGATCCCAAGTTTGAAGCTGTATGTTTCACACGGAACTTAAGGAATGAATAATCTTCGTTTCCAAAGGAATGTTGAATTTTACTTGCTATTACTGTTGTTACTATTATTACTATTATTACATGTTTTGTAGACTGAAAAAGATATAATTCTGCGTGATGAACTGGAAGGCCTGCAAGACAAATATCCTAATCATTTCCGTCTATGGTATACCGTGAGCGAAGAACCTGAACGTAAGTCTCAGTTTGTTATTATGAAAGTGGACTTGCTTGCACTGAGGGAAATACTTTAAAATTGTTATATATTAAACTTGGGAACTTGTGTATGAGTGAAGATATTGCTCATCAGGAGCCAACTTTCAGTCCTGGTTAGGTCCGAGTCGTGCTCCATCTACTTAAACTTGGAAAGTGTTGGTTAGTATCAACAACCCTTATACAATATATGTGTGACTAAATGATTTCAGACTGAGTAGATCCATCACCCAAGGTAGATGGATGCTCAAAGTTGATTGAAGTTCACAAAAATAGAATCACTGACTTTTTGTTTTTCTTCCATCTAGGCAGTCTAACTGAACAGTGTTCTTGAATTCTCAACCTGGATTGACTGTGACAGTAAACGAGACATTGCTGCTAAGTCATTGAAAGGACAGGATTATGAATGGACTTACAAAGAGGAAATATCTCTTTACAAGTACATGTATTATAATAAAGTTGTGAAGTTAGACAGATGGAATGAAACTACTTGATCGTATGTCAATCGATTTAACCATCTAACAACACAATCAAAATATTAACTGTTTGATTGCTTTCACCTTAGGACACTGTTTGATTAATTATTGATTTGCTGTTTGTTAAAGCATGCACTTAGTACATGGTGGACACCAAGACATGTGCCATGTCTTGTAGTTTGTGTGAAGTCTAGAATACTGTTCAGACACCCAGACTAAAGCAAGTGGTTGTCTTATGGGACTTCCCCTTCCCCCTCCAGACCTTTGGCTTGAAGCATAATTCACTTGGGAGTGGAGCAACTTCAGAAGATGCGTTCTCATGGTTTTCAGTAACAGAAACCGATTCATACGCCATTCAATCCGTTCAGATTCTGGAGGGTTTTCCAGCTCCCCTAGATAGGCATGCATGTTTACCAGTCCGATTGTAAGTGCCAGATATCTGCACTCACCCTTTCACTCATGTGATGAACACCCCCACCTTAGGTGAAGGCAGTGGATAGGACTTACTTGGCAGAGGCCATGGTCGTTTGGCCACATAAGAGGATTTCGAGAGGAAGACCGAGATCTACCCATTGTCGGCTGTATCACGTTTTTTATGGGGGGACACTGTTATAAATCATGTTTTGCCCTTGGTACGACTAATCTATACATACATAGCGTCGGTGGTTAAGCGATAGAACGCTCGTCAACCATGCATGTGGTTCGGGGTTCAATCCTCGGTCAACGCACTCCTATCTAAACCTTACTAAGCAGATAGTAATGCTGGTAAAAAGGGATGGTTGGGCGTGAGGCTAGCAACCCCATCCCGTAAAAATAAAACTACTGCTACAGAAACTTCAAAAGCTCCATTCGGAACATAATGGAATTTAAAAAAAGATCTTTACATAAATTTCTAGAAAATCATACACTTTTTCAAAAGTGCATATCTCTATGTATTTCATTATTTCAGTATTATGCTGTTCAGGGATTTCTACATATATAGAGCATTTCTGTGTTGGTACACTGTACATGAGACACTTTGGGTATTTTTGCTTTGTTATTTAAAATTGGTAGTTTAATTGCAAAACTTTCTTCATCTTTCAGCATAATATTGAAGTTAGAGTCGAAGATTTTTCCTCTCCAAAGACAATGTATGTTTCACAAAGATATCATCCATCACACTAAACCACTGAGAGGTATTCAGGCTCACTGTTGATCTCATGTAGGACTAAAAATACATACACCAGTGATTAATTGATCAGTGGTAACGTCTTTGACTGAAAAGGAGAATTTAAAGAATAGCAATCTAAGGAGAACAGGCGTACCAATGTGGTTTTTAAAAAGCGACCAATTAAACCAACCTGGGTGATTAGGGCGAAAAAATGGAAACAGAGTTAAGCATCCGTGTTAAAGAAAGGTTATCCTGTTTAGTGTGTTCTCATTCTTTGTTATTAGATGGTTGGAGACAATCAGCAAGAAACCTTGGACCTAGATTTCGTCAACAACGCGTATCTGCAACATTGATGGAACTCATATCCCCTCTGAGATTCGACACTCGTGTCACCCAATGTTGCCTTCAAAATTTTAGTCTGCACCCACCAAAGGACTTGACTCATGACACTCGGTACTTACTATGTAGTGTTCATTGAAAGTATCTAATACATTCCCTGAAGGAGGTCAATCGCGAATCCGAAAATCTCAGTGGTAGTAACGCCGTCTCTAACTGCAGCAGCAACGGGTTCGAGACACAGAGGGGATGTGAGTTCCTGCAAGGTTGTAGATACTCCTAGCTGACTGACTGGTGAGTACCAACAAGCACGAAACCTAAGTCCCCATGGTTTCCTGTCAATTACCTTCAACTATCTAAGATCCACTGAAGCCACAGAAGGCATTGGTTTTGCTTTAAGCTTTTCTTTCTTCAATATTTATTGCTAATATTTCTATTCGTTTAAACTTAAAACTATTAGTATTATTATTATTAATTTATCAGGTTGGTCGTACAGTACCGGTTATATAAATGAGAAAATGTTACAAGAGCATATCTATCCATCAAGTGAAGATACACTTACGCTTCTCTGTGGACCTCCACCAATGATTGAATTGGCCTGTTTACCATCATTGAACAAGTTGAATTATCCTAGATCTCTAATTTATGTATTCTAAAGCACCGCTATAAGGTATTATCGCTTCTCTCTCTCTCTCGCGCGCCCTCCCACTCTCTCTGACTTTTCACTTTCCCCTTTGACTTCTAGCCCATCAGTTAAAGGTGATATCATATATCTCATTCGTCTATCTGTCTATTGCTGCGTGTATGTGTGTGGGTGAGTGAGTAACGGGAGGTGGGGATTATGTTTGATCTGAGTTTTCATACTTATACATTCATTTGTTTATTAACTATTAGTAGCGTAGTGTTGAAACCATATCACACCAATGAATTATGAAGCCTTATTCTTCTTCTTATTTGTCATTTTCATTATTGCTTATTATTATTATTGGTAATAATCATGATTTTTTTGTTTAATTGATTCATCATATACACATGTATGCATGCATGCATGTATGTATGTTCAAATATACTACTGTGCTACACTTGTCGTCTTTCAGTGATTGCTTGCTTGCTTGCTTATCTCTCTGATTCTAATTCCATCTCTACGGTGTTGTTAAAATCTCGAGTACACCCGGTCTAATTTTTGTTGTATATATTCTGTTGTTAAGATATGAGTGCTGGTGTATGTCACTCCTGTAAAATGTAAGATGATGTTGCAGGATTGGACTACACCGACCCCTAGATTAGAAATAGGAAATGAAGTGGTAGAGCACGTTGACCGCTTCACTTACTTGGGAAGTACCATCAGCCAGTGCCAACGGGTTGATCTCTGACGAAATCTCAGCACGAATACAGAGGGCTAGTTTTGCATATGCCAGTTTACATGATATCCGACTATCGACCAAAGGGCGTGTGTACTGCTCAGCAGTCCGCTCCGTCCTCCTTTATGGCTAGCTGTGAGACCTGGCCATTGAGAGCAGAAGACATGAAAAGATTAGCTGTCTTCGATCATAGGTGTCTGCGTTCTGTCTCCCAGGTGAAGTGGTATAACAAGGTAAGGAGGGGAAATCAGTCGACGAGACTGTGAAATTACATCGACTGAGATGGTTAGGACATGTGCTACGTATGCCTAGTCATCGCCTTCCTCGACGGGCAATGTTAGCTGATATAGGGTCAGACTGAAAAAGAGCTAACGGCGGTCAAACGAAAACATGCCACCAGTCGATGAAATCTACAACAGTTAGTCTAAGCCAGCCACGTAGGAAGGTGTAGACTACCTGGTTGGGGTCCTCGGGACGGTAAAAACCAATGGTTGGAAACTATCGGTGACATGGCTCAAAGTGATCGTTCTCAATGGCTGGCGCAGATGCATCCACTCCTTGTGACTTATGATTTCCAATTAAACTGTTTTGTTCTTCGTTATAACTATTCTTGTGTCTCACACCTCTGTTTACTGTCTGCATTATGCATTTCTCCTACTTTCTTCTCTTGCTTTGTGTGCTACATGGAAGGAGTGTGGCGACTTGAACTGCTGCACATGGGTGCAAAGTTCTATGTCGAAAACAGACAGACAGACAGGTGTATGTCACTGGGGAAAGTAAACAAATCTTATTATGGTGATATACACACATGGAGATCAGTCTGCATCGAACGAAGGACTAGACACATCACACTAGTTACTAATTAGTGTCCAATCAAAGTATTGCGAGCCCAAATACCTCAGTGGTGGTAACGTCTCTCTGACTGCAGCAGCAGCACTGGGTAGTGACACACAGGTTCGAATCGTAGAAGGGAAATGAGCTTCTTCAAGATTGTAGATACGCCTTGCTGACTGTGATGATTGTCAACAAGTATGAAACTTAGGTCTAGCAAGGCTTCCTTTTGATTGCCTTCAACCACCCCTGATATCAATAATTCAAAGCGGATAGAAGAAGTGTTGGTGCTGAATAGCTGTTCCATAAAATTGATTTAGAAGTTTACAAAAAGTCACAAGTAAGGGGAGACAGATACAGTAGTAGAATTATTGATCAGAACATAAATAAGAAAGAATTTGTGACATTTACAGCCGTACCAACCATACAAGGGACATTTAAAAGCTTACATGGGATTCGTAATAAAGCAGTAATTATGGTGGTATCTAAACCTAAAAACGCATACAGGGACAACCTCTGTAGGGCTAAGGATCCTATTGACGCAATTAGACAAAATAATGTGATCTACAGAATACCTTGCAACGACTGTGATGTCGACTATGTAGGTCAGACCAGTAGATTGGGAGTGGTCAGATTATCAGAACATAAGAATTTGACTATGTATAGAATGTTCATATAAAGAGGAATCGTTTAGAGAAAAACTTTGCGGTCGCGATGCATATGTTAACACACAATCACACCATAAAGTGGGGCAAAGCTATAGTTCTTGGAAGTACTAAAGGTGGGTAGGTGGAAAAGTCAGTCAAGCTTCATCACGGATCGATAACACTCAGAGAGAGTACTGGACAGCTGTTTCATCCTAGTTCGCGACTCATTGGCAGTACGCATCCACCGCTACAGTTTGAACCCACGACCTTGCGGTTACAAGTCAAGCTTGTAGACCATTTAGCCAGTGAGACCCGATTCAGTGACCGGTCCATGAATTCTAACTTTTACCAATTTGTGGTTTTAGCGCGACCACCAGACACTATCACAGGCGGCGAGTATTTGTCCTCACTCCCTACCTGTTAGACCCTACTGGTCATTACTTCTAATTAGAAATCCAGGAAACTTCGTCCTGAAGCCAGCCAGTCACTAGGGAGCATCAGATTAATTCTCACGACTTCGTCCATAGGTTCGAAACCCGGTGAATGTGTACTGCCGATGAGTCCCAAACTAGGACGAAACAGTTGTCCAGTACTCTCTGGTTTTCAGTGGTTCTCTAACTGATATCAATCCGTGATCAAACTTGAAACGAATCAAATCCATACAAACACCTGAAAGGTTAATCACTGAATCTTTGTTCATTGAATCTACACACCCAACACATTCCATAGGAGTGACGCAACGCTAGCACCAAAGATACTGAAAATATCTCTACCAATGAAATTAAAGGATAAGAAGTAATGGAATTATATAAACGAATTTGGAAGGTTGTGTGATTGCTTTGATATGATTATGATGTTGAAACGTCATTAGAAAATAATGCTGTATCACCAGATTTATCAAATAAATTTACTCTCTGATGGAATTATACTCTATCACGATGCTCAATTTCTATTCTCAGTTCTTAGACACACTTTGGAAAAATAAAACTAAGTGGCCAGCAACGGAATCTCTGTACTTACTCGTATCCGGTACGGATAAGGTATCCGTCGACTTTACAGCGCAGCAGTTCGTTCACAATTCTATTTTAAAGCTGTGAGACATGGCTGCGTTAGAGATTACCGGTTTTTAAGCAACATGACAGGTAGTGTTGATTTAAGCGTTAACTATCAGAGGAGGTAGTCGTTAATACCATAGGTCGTAATGGTGTTAGATGGCTAGGACAGATGCTGCACAATCCATTGTCGACGATCAGTGTTAACTAAAATGATATGAGACATTTCTCCAAAGGCAGATCATGTTAGAGGCTCTTAGAAGATCTCAGCGATACGATTATTTATATGGATGAAACAAGATTTTATTGGTAAGTTTCGCATACACCGAATGTCGATAACAAATATTGACTACTTATCATATTTGAATGTGCTTATTTAAGTTACCAAACATTAGCTGGACAAGAAGGCTGACAACTCGTTTTTTCTTCGATAAAATCTGCATCTTTTTCATTATTTCCCTTGGATCAGAGACTATTGAGTGAATTATTTTGGCAATGGATAAAGGTACTAATCAGCTGATTATTGGCTTTGATGTCAGTGTACTGAAATCTACCAATCAGAAGACGTGTAAGTCACTTGATGTGCGTAGGCGTCTTGCTGCCTATTTAGTGTAGGCGTCCGGCACACCTGATTGGTTGATTTTCGAACATTGACATTAGGGCTACCAACAAAGCATTTCTCTGTGTTAGTCCATCAAATGCTAAGTGAGCAAGTAGATCATGAGCCTAGTAAAACTGTAGACGAATAGAGCAAGTCATTTATCACTGATTGGTTGTTAGTGATTTTGTTCGGAATCAAGTGGCTTTTGTCTTATTACCACATTTAAAAAAACAGTCGATCTATCCTTTGTTAGTACCATTATCTTATCTAGTTTTAACACAATTATTTTCTATTCCGAATATTACCAGCACTGTTATTATGAATCTTATTCAGTTTGCAATCTTGATACATTCAAGTAATTGCTCATCTAAGTGATGTAATTGAACCGTACTGCATTTTATCTTAATTTTAATTTCTCATACTCCCTTCCCCTTATATCTATTTGAACATGACCTGAGAAACATTCACACTAGTTGTTCTGCATAACTGATTCAATTTAGTCTGTTTGCTTATCAGTCTTACATCCTCCAATGTAATTCTAATGGAATTTGCATTCCTGTATGTAGAGCATTCAGCAGCTGAAGAGTTCTAACGAAATTTAATGAATACATCGAATGCTGCTTTATTAACGTTTTTTGCTCGTTTTAAATTTATATCGGGAAATGTTTCCAATCGATGGTGTATTTCTGGTTATTCTGGTGGGAGTTTTATACTTATTATTGGCAGTGCGATCTCTAGGATGTGTGTATCCACATGGTCATATTCCATTCCGTGAAATTTGTTTTTTGGGACTGTCTGAGATCACTGACCTTGGCACGAAATGTCTTAAATGTGATACGTCAATTCACAGTCTTACATAAATTTTTTACTCCGGTCGATATAAGACGGCATACTATGTATACATCAATCTATGAAGTTTCTTGTGAGACTGTTCTTTTGAGACACTTAGGGAGGTGAATACTCTATCTGGGTTCTCATAGTCGCTTATAGTTGATGGCTGGAGACTGCTTCTGTCATGACTCAGTAGCGAAAATGCATTCATTCTTTGTGGTCTCATTACTCGACTAAATGCTGATTACATTATCTATGTAACTGTCATGTCTCCCACACATTCCTGCCTATCATAATTGCTTTACATTTTTTATCTTTGTGAAGTGTGATAATCTGAACTGATGTACTTATTTTGTAAAGTCCTATGCTAGGAATTCAATTAAGATCCTCCAACCAATCAAACAAAATTCCCTACAAAACCAATACTTGAAAATTAATTAATGTGATGTTCACTAGCGACTGGACCTATTCAGGCAGTTCACCTGGAGTTCCAGTGGGAAGCCGTGACCAGTAGGCTGCAGCACGTTGAAGGTGAGTCGGAAACTTATCGAAGAAGACATTGCAAAGTGGTCGCACTATGTCATGAATTGGCAGAAGTTGGAATTCATGGGCTGGCCATTTGATATAGGTTTGCCTTGAGCTAAATGTAATCTCTATGAGTCTGAATACGTTTTGCAGGTGATGACAGGCGATGTTAAACTATCATAGCCAATATCATGATGACCTTGAGCGACCTATCACAGAATTCAGAT